ATCTTATTATTGTTTATTTTTTATAATTATTTTCTACTTTTTAATCACCTTTTTATTTTTTTATTACATTTTTTTTTTTAAATCAATGTAATTTTTTCCCCCACCTAACTTTATTGCTATCACACAGGAGATAACAAGCCCCTGTGTGATAGCAAGGTAGACGGCTAGTTCCTCCGGCGTCAATCCACATCCACTACTTCCTCCGGCATCAAACAGGACGCCGGAGGAAGTATCTGACAGCTGGGGGGAGGAGTTGCGGCCCGCTGCGCCGTGATTGGCCGGCGAACAGTAGAAAGGCATCATGGCCCACTCACAAACCAGCATGTAAAACAACTTGTCTCACCACTAAGGACAATGACAGAGGTTTGGATACACGTCTTCTGCAAAGGATGTGTAAGCCGCACTGCCGCGCCAAGGCACCTCTTATAGTGCGGTCCTAACTCTAAACTATGAGAGTCTCCATCTTGGAGCACATGGGGCAGAAGATATCAAATTGGGTGCAGGCCTGTCAGGAGGACGGCGGTCGCACACTACGGAGCCGGAGGGCGGAGCCTCGGGCCGCCCCGTCGTGATTGGACGGTGGCAGAACGTAGTGTGCGGATGCCGGACACCTTACACCGGCGCCCGCAACTTCCCCACAAGGTCACCGCTGCCGCCCCTCTGCGCTCTGCCGCCCCGAGGCCGGGCCTCGGTGGCCTTGTGGGAAATCCGGGCCTGGTCGTTGGCCATGTATACTTGCGGGTATTGGGCGCTGAAGTATTTGGGGCAGGAAGTTCTGGAGAAATGAGTTTCCTGAAGGAAGATGATACTAGCATGGGAGGATTGAAAAAATCTGAAGGCTCGCGTCCTCTTATTAGGGGAGTTGAGACCTTGCACATTAAGGCTCAGTAATTTAAGAGACATAAGGAATAGCGGTAATGCTGTTGGTACTCACCCAGCCTGGTCGCTCGAGGGACGGCAGTCACTATCATCTGCCTAGGCTCAGTATACCGCGAGCTGTAGCTCGCGGTATACTGAGACGCCGCAGCTGAAGGGGATCCCGACAATTATGTCTGGATCCGCCCAGCTGCGTGACTGACAGCTGGCTCTGCCTATCTAGAGGCAAAGCCAGCTGTACCCGCCCCCTCGCCCATCCGTTCCGCCAGTGAGTGATGGCGGATCGGAGCGGGGGGAATCCAGCCCCTCCCCTGTCACGGCAGAGAGCCGTGACAGGATCGAGAGG